ATTTCAGTACAGAGGGGGAAATTACAGCAATAAATTCCATTAATTTATAGGTATCTTTAATTTCCCATTGATTAATTTTTGTACGTAAAATTAAAAAAACATTAAGGAATCGATAAAATAAGAGTAGATTGTGCAGGAGATTTACATATAAGATTAATATTTAGGTATAGAATATAAGATTCTTTTTCTAAAAATTAGCATTTTATGTAAAGCAATTTCAAATCAAACAGAATAGTTTAAACCATATTTTATATATGAACATTTGTAAATCTGATGGTCAACTTCTTTTTATTGATCATTTCCTGTGCTTTTAATACATTTGGATCTGAAATGCAATCAGATTTAATTCTTCAGAAAATGCAATTCTTAACCTTACAGCCCGATACCTTTTTGTCTTGTGGTCAGGGGCGGGTCCACAGGAGGTTAAAAAAATGAAGACGCCATTGAAAGGCATTGCCAGCTCCTGATTGGCTGCTGTAGCTGGGATAAAGCGATTTCATGATTACGTTTATGGCCGTTTTTTCACTTAGTGACCGACCACAAACCCCTTTTGGGTCTTCTGGCAGGAGATCGCCAGACTCCTCAGATATTGTCCCCAAGAATGTCCAGGTGGACAGTCTTTCTTGCTGCCTATAGCTACCAGCTGCTATATAGGAAAAAACTTAGGGCACGCTGATGCCCTCAGTTGCTGCCTTCTACCTGCGCCAGCCTTGGACCCTGCTCCCGCTGCTTCGGTCCTCTTGATTGAGGATTTGCCCATGCCAATATCCGCTCAGGATATTGCCAGGCTATCTGCCTCAGATCCCGTGCTGGCCCAAATCTTGGACTGGGTGCGCAGGGGGTGGCTGCAGGGGCCAGTAGATTCTGTCCTTCTATATATAGCAGCATGAACTGTCTGTCCTTAACGGGTGCCTGTTTTGGGGCAATAGGGTGGTAGCCCCCTCAAAGCTTAGGTCACCAATCTTAAGCTGCTTGCACATGGCTCAGCCGGGCATTGTGCGCATGAAGGCTTTGGGCCGAAGCTACGTGTGGTGGCCAAAGATTGACCAGGAAATAGAAAGTTGGGTACCCACCTGCCAGCAGTGCCAGCAATCCAGGCCGGCTCCTCCTTCTGTGCCCATCAGGGAATGGGACATGTCCCGGGCTCCATGGGCATGAGTCCATTTATACTTCGCTGGCCCATTCTTGGGGTAGAACTTCCTACTCCTCGTAGATGCCTATTCAAAATGGGTGGAGCTGGCACTTATGCCTTCCACCACTTCAGAGGCCGTAATTAACTTGATGGGAAGGCTATTTGCGACCCATGGGTTGCCCGACGTGGTGGTGTCCGACAACGGACCCCAGTTCATATCGGCACCCTTCCAAATGTTCTTGGCCCAGCATGGCAAACGCCATGCCCCAATGGACCCATTTCACCCGGCCGGAAATGGCCTGGCAGAACGGACTGTCCGGTCGTTAAAGAGGTATTGTGCCACTTGGGGCCAGGGAATTGGCATGAGAAGCTGTCCCAATACCTTCTCGCACAACAGTCTGATCACCAACCAAAGTCACGCAGAACGGCTTATGGGTCGTCGGCTCCGGACAACCCTGGACCGACTACACCCTGGCTTGCAGCAGAGCAAGTTTCCAATGCAGGCGACTGCACACGGGCTTTTAATGTGGGAGACCCAATCAATGCCCAAAACTATGGGGCCAATCCAAGGTGCCTGCCCGGACAAATCACTCAACTAACTGGACCCTACTCTTATAGGGTCCAGCTCAGCGACGGGTGAATGTGGCGCTGCCACATCAATCAACTCAGACAGCGGGCCACTACTGCAGCAGACCAGCGCCCAGGGCAGGCCCAATCCAGCCCCGGGAGACTAACACCGCCAGAGGCGGCTCCAGCGCAACCAGAGACGTATGCAACACCCCCCACCGATGCGTTCTCATTGCCAGGCTTACCTGAGAATCTGGTCAGTCCTGCGGTGGTCGTTTCCCGTTGACTCAGCTGCACAGACTCCAGAAGTTCCACAGGACTCTCCACCAGCTCCTCCTCCTTTGGCCGCCTGATTGGGGTGGAGCCAACGCGGGCCGGCGCACTTAGCTGACTACGCATGTGCTAACTGGGAGAGGGGTGTTAAGTCCTCTGGGCTACAATGTCATTGAAAGGCATTGCCGGCTCCTGATTGGCTAAGACGTGAGCAGCCAGCTGGCAGGAGAATGGAGCCATTCTATTGGTTCAGCGTCTGACAGCTCCTGTATAAAAGAGTTGTCAGCTGTCAAATGTTGCTGTTTGCCAGTTCGTGGTTTGCCTTGCTTTTGCCTTGTTAAGTTTAAATAAAGGTTGTTGTTAGCTTTCAACCTGCCTTGCCTCAGTTCCTACCTGCCTCGTTTTCCTTACAGAACAGAAAGGCATATAAAATGGGCGAGGCTTTTATGGTGTCACTCTGGCTGTCTTCTTGACAGACACCCTGTACTTGCTTTGATGGGTCTAAACAAAATGACTTCTCTTCTTTTATTGAATTAATAACACATTTCACTTTCAGTTGTTTAGTTGAATTACTAGTTATTCTGCAAGCATTTTAGCTGCAGAATGTAGACTAGCCCTTTGGCTGTCAAGTTGTACAGAAAAAAATATATTTTTGTCCCAGGACCTCAGACAAACATTTGAAGGACATCATACTCTCCTGTAGAATTAATATAGGCACCTGGGACACTCCTGAATGGACAGAAAGATATGGAAACTGAAATAGAAGGGTTAAAAAAATGGTGCTTTTCAAAAGTAGTAAAACCTTTCATGCAGGAAGGGAGCTTTGTTGCAAATATTTATATTGGGTCCAGAAGAAAAGTATGTGGCTACTCTCTGCAGATTGTGCAAATAGATTAAGGCAGTGGTTCTCGACCTGTGATTCGCAGACGCCTGGGGGTTGCAATGTCATCACAGGGGATCTGCAAGGCTTGAAGAAATGTTATGATTTAAATTTGAATGAAGTCTTGGTGGTCCATGGCCATGGTCCATGGCAATGAAAGGTATTTAAAGGGGTTAGGTGGTAACGTTTTGGAACCACTGGATTAAGATTTCCCCTTCTCAGTTGGCAGCGTCATTTGATAATCATAGATAAATGTGAGGTCAACAGTCAATATTTCCAGTTTCTTTCTCATTCTCATGTTATAATGTTGTAAGAATACCATAGCGCATGAGCTTTTTTCTGTTTTAAGTATGATCTTAAGTTGGTTCTACTGTTATCTGTCCATCTGGTGAAGGACATGAGAAGGTCACAGCTAATCTAGGCAATACTTGTAAATGTATTTCTACTCCATGCAGAATGATTTCCAGGCAGAGTTGGGAGGGACTTTGGAGGTCTTCTAGTCCAACTCCCTGTTCAAGCAGGAAACTCTACTGTAAAAACTTCCAGTGTTGGAGAACCACAACATTGGAGGCAAGTCGTTTCATTGTTAATTGTTCTAACTATAGCTATACTAGAAATTGGCATTGCTGTGGCTTACTTAGATACAACACTTTCCTTGAGTAGCTTTCTTGCAGTGAAAAAGAGGCTCCTGCGTATTTCATGTGATTAAAATGAAAGAAGCCAGTCCTTTTCCCTCTATAATCGCCAAGAGAAGGGAGAAGTGATGTTGGGATGATGATGGAAATTGAACTGGGATTTTCTGCTTTTTTGTGATTGTTTGGGCTTTTGTCTTATACCTTATATTAAGCCTACTTCACAACAACAACAAATATACCACATATAACTGTTGGGAGACCCATGAAGGGATTTGGGGCTTCGTGCAATACTGGGGGACTGTAGTGTTGTTCATAGTTTCCAAGATGAATTTACTTGAGCACAAAATGTAGTTGATTTTCTATTCCATTCTCCTCAGATTTCAAAATGCTGACTACCTTGATTTTGTTGCTACTTATATAAGTAGCATGCAACCTCTCCTAGCAGACTCCAGGAAAGAAACTGATGTTGCAACTTGACAGCATCATGCAACATATAGGCCCACTTCTGCATTCCAAAATCCCTGCGAAGTTATAAATGCAATTATGGAACATTAAAAAAAAACCATAACCGATCTTGAAATTGCAAACTTACCTACTGCTTACCCTGCATTTGTAATGCTATACTGCAAGCTGATATTTCCAAATAAGCTTTTCACAGGGACAGATGTGGCTGATGACAGACAGTAGGTTAGATTTCCCTGTCCCTTTTCCGCTCGGTTATTGGAGGAGGGAGGTCTTTCACTTTTTTTCCTTCCATGCGTTTCCTCACTATTTCTTTCACCTTGTATTTTTTTTCTTTCCAGAAAAAAATCCATGAGAAAGAAATCTGAATAACGAACTGCACAATATCCTTTTTTTCCGATAATTTTCGGAACTCTGTCTTGAAGGCTCCCTAAGAAGAGGCTGAATTCCAAACATTATCGGAGAAATACCCTTGAGAAAGCCCTCTTGAGCTTTCTAATGGCACTTCCTTCTCCCACAATTCACCAACACGCGTGGGGGATTTCGCCTGCGAGAGGCCTTTAGGTGCCTTTCGAAAGACAGCGTGGCTGCGTGGTTCCTGGCCAGAATCTTCTGTTTCTACATACATTTCCATTCATATATTATTCTTAACCAGGACCAGCTTTTTCGACCTTGTTTGTCCGGTAGAGGGTAGCAACTCCTTTATTTGCTCGATTCTGCTATTTTCTATTCTGCGGGCTTTCAAGCCCTGGAAGCACAACAGAGGGAGGCTCTGAGGGAGGGCAGCCAGCCTAAAGCTCCTTTTATCCCCCCTCGCTGGCTGTAGGAAACCGCTTTCCCAACAGAGGAAAGGCATTTAAAAAAAACACACACCCTTGATTCATGTTTATGCTCCTTTTAGACACTGAATGACTAACGTTTATATTCCTTTCGGCTAAGTCCTGCCTCCTTTCACAGTTACGCGATTAAAGCCGCCTCGGCTTTTAAAAAAAAAGATCCATTCCAGAACATAATGTTCCCTCCCGGATTTTATTTACCACCTCTCTTTCTCTCTCTCTCTCTTTCTCTCTCTAACACACACACACGCACACACACGGGCGCGCGCTGTCTTCCTGACGTGGTTGGGTTTAAGTCTTGTGGTATTTCCTGCTCCAGAGACTCCTCGAAACAGCTGCTCTGCTTTTTAGACTGACAACGCTGGTCTCCCCAACCCTCCCCAATCTGTTGCTCTCAGAAGTAGAGCTCCCAGGCCAGACGGGGAGTTCCGGACCTCGCCTTTGGCGGGCGGGAGACGGAGAGAAAAGAGAAAGAAAGAAAGGAAAGAAAAAAGCCCGGGCTGCTGTTGCGCGTGCTGAGTTGCGGCTTACCTCCCCCGCCCTCCCAGCGCAGCAGCGTGTGGTAGCGGGGTGGGTGGGTGAGAAAGTGAGTGACAATTCGCAGGGTGGGAGTGGGAAGTCCGAAAGCAAAAGGGCTTCTCTCCGGAGCGGCGGCTGAGTGGGCAAGCTGGGAAGTCGCCAGCCCGAGAAAACCGGGTGCCGTCGACCGACCATGAGTGGCTCTTCGAGGAGATGCTGCTGGCCGACAATTTTGGGACTATGGTGAGGCGCCGCGGAGCAGAAGAAGGGAGCGGGTGTTCTGGTCGCCGGCAGGAATTAGGACGCGGGGGATCTGCCTGCGCGCCGAGGAGGTAAGAAGCAGCGGCAGCAAAGGGCGCCTTTTTCTTTCCCCTTTTTGTTTGCCAAGAGCGCAGCTGCTGGTGCCTGCGCGGGTCTTGCGATGTTGCCAATAAAGGATTCCATTTCTTCGGGCTTCCTTCGCGGGTGTAAATAAAAAACAAAAACCCCAAACCAAATCTTGCTCCCAGTCTCGCTTTTGGGGAGAGGGGGGGGGGGAGAGGAAGCTGGTGGGAAAGAAAACGCCGAGCTTCGTGAGAAATGAAGTGCGTAGGACACAGTAACAATAGCAACCTTAATGAAGCTCCAGGGCCTCAAACCGATATTTAATATTGCAGAAGGATTTGGGCTTTTTTTTTTTTTTTTTTTT